ACCAGATGTGAGAGACAGGTTTAGGGATGAGCAGCCACATGGACTGTACAACAACTTTCTGCCACCTCCACCTGAAGCTACAGAATCTGATGTGGCTTCAAGACCTACGGATACACATGGACCTGGGCCGTCTCCTCACAACACAAGTCTCAAACAGGCTGTAGGGAGATCCGAAGGCAGGGTGCTTGAGAGGTCTCTCTCAGCTATGACATTTCAGAGAGGTAAGAGGGGTTACTGTCGATCAAAACTCTTTTAAGAAATCGCATGCTTTGGTATGGTCCAAAGATTTGATTTATGTTGTGTAATGCACCATACAATTGCCAACAAGTATACAAGTTTTGCTTGTACACTGTACGGGTATTTCAAAAGTTACATTGTGTATGAGTCATGTAGTTTTTGGAATAGTGTGACTGCTTCCATTATAGTATCAGCAACATGCTTCAATAAATGTCTTTTGATATCCATACCTCAAGCCTGTATGATATTGACAATGTTGAAATACATTGCCTAGGTCGTAGTACTACCATGAGTTCCAGAGGCAGACCTGAGAAAAAGAACCAGACCACAAACCGGGCAAGCATCACCCGATGTTACAGCTGTCCTCCTGTATGTTTTGTGCAGCCTTACAAGGTCAGTAGTATTATGTAGCTAAGAGGTATACATGTAGAATTTAATGTAAGTGGTAGCAAGGTGTTATATAAGATATATAATAATTATACTTTTTGGCACTTTCCTGCCCTCTGATAATTCAGTTAGAGTATATTTTGTATTATTTGGACAGTGCACAGATTGCCATTTGTTAACTTTAAATTTGAATTAGTTTGCTTTGAAAATTTTGTGACTACTAACTTTTGAATTACATCATTTGTAACTGTTACTAAGATGGACAGTCACTGGATATGAGAGAATCTGTTAGTTATTAATTTGGGGCCTTTGTTTTCAGGATCAGGAGGAAGGACCTGCATCCAGCAACTCTTTGAGCAGTGACTGCATCCCACTTGTGCAGGGAGATAACAGACAAGTGGCAGGGACCTGCCAGCAAAATATCTGTCAAGGTAGTCACAGACAAAATTGGTTAACAACTGACTCTGATGTGTAATGTGCAATAATAGATTTTCTTCTTATTCTACTCTGTTATGAAGCTGTACATACCAATCTACAGGTGTGATGCACTTAATGTTGCATATGGTTTACACTCTGACTGAGTATTAGGAAGTTCCTTGGTTGAAGTGCATAGTTGAACAGAAGTCACAAAATGTTGTTTGATTCTTACAGCACATTATGGTGTCGTGTTTCCAACTTGTATTACAAATTCAGGTTGTCTTTGACCTTCAACTTACAAGACTACAATGCCAAATCAGAGTTCACATTATTTGGACATAATGCACTTAATGCATAATGTTTCATGACACTTTTTTGTACTTCTAAACCAGCAGGGCCAAAAATCACAGTCCTGGACAATGCCCAGCAGTTGTTGGGAGTTATAAGGACATCTCCAACACCTGTGGAGCAGATAGCATACAGCATCAGGGAGAGGGTGAGCAGTTAGTAAGACTTTGGATATTGTGGAATAAGATTACATGACTGTACACAATGTATGTATCATTACATAAGCTGGATATTACATTTAAATATTGCCATGGATAAATTACAGGATCAGTCCCTTGAATTGCTTTACATGTACATTATCTTCGAGTACAAGATTTTTAACCTCCTTGGTCAGATATGTGATTGGAAATGGATATTTCTCAGGAAGGATAAAGTTACATGACATACTGAAACAGTTCCATATATAGACAGAAAAGTTTTTCATGATTATAAGTTAGAGAAATTTACAGTGATTGTCATGTATAAAAAATCTAAATAACCCATGAAATAACTCTGTCATGTACTGACAGTTAATCTGTTATGGGTAATTTTGTTCATTAATTTTGTATCGGTATGGGTAGTCTGGTTATCAAAGCTATTATAACTCCAGATATTATAGCACAAATAGGCGAGAGGATGTAGGACTCGGGAACTATAATAGGTTTGGTAACCAGGCTACTGTAAGGGTATGTCTATGGGCAACACACAAGTTGAAAACATAGCTACAATTCCTGCCTGGTTTGATTGTTTGTAGGTGTTCCAGGAGTTGGTCCTGACAGCTTTCACCCTGAGGTACCCTGATGGGGACGTCATCCCAGAGGGAACCCTGCTGGGGGACCAGGAGGCTACAGTTATAGTCTTTCCTGCAGAGACAGACCAGCCAGGGCAGTGGATGGTTGTTAATGATATGTAAACTTACTAGGAAGGGCATGTCCCTTTTCAGTAAGATATAGGCAAGCTAGCCTCCTGTGCAGGCCTCTGGGTGGGTGGGAGTTTTGAAACTGCGTTTTCACGAATTTTTAACTTGTTCTTTTGCCAGCCATCCTACAGCCAGCTGCCCTAGAGAGAAGGTTTGTACCTACCTGGCCTGCACAGTAGGCTTATTATGATAGACAAGCTACATTTTATCACTATATTTAGTGATTTCAAAGTTGCTTTTTGAGGATTTCAAGATGGCTAAAAGTCAGTTACATTTTATAAGAATCAATGACACAGTTTTGATCGATTTTATCAGGAAAGCTATAAAATACCCCATGATTCATGGTGAAGTTGTTTTCTTCCCATAATTCATAGCAAGATTTCCGAATTTTATGTATTACTATGCATTTTTTTACTACCAGTGCCATGTTCAAGAGGGTAAAGTGCTTCCCTTGCACTAAGAAGGTTGTGAGTTTGATCCCTGGAGGAGTCATACCAAAGACTTAAAAAATGGTACTTACTGTTTTATCTGCTTAGCACTCAGCATTTGGGAAATAGTGTGTTAGTTAAACACTCACCCCTACCTGTGGACTAGCCTCCTGTAGTGATTGCACAACTGTATGACTACAGAAACAGAAATGGCTGCTGTGCATGCCCAGTTTGCACTTAGGTGTAGTATGACTGTACATTATGAGGTAACACGAGTTTAGTGTTAAGTGTTGTTGGGAACTCCCCATTTGTGTAGATGCTATGTCTCCATTGTTCAACTTGTATATCCATTCTTCAGCATAAGTTACAGCTTTGAATGTTTGCAGGCATGTGACAGCTGCTAGTTATATCGATATCACCCTGAAAGACTTGAATTTAATTATAGTATAATTATTAGTTTAAATTAACAGCTTAATTAACCTTTTGTAATTTCAAAGTTGCTTTTTGAGAATCTCAAAATATAAAGGTTAGTTACATGTTATAAAAATTTTTTGTTGACACAGTTTTCTGCTAAAAGCTTGGACTTGTTTTCATTGTGAGTGCTTCCTTCAAGAAAAATAAAGTTTAACTTTAAGTGCTTAGTACCTTCTTTTGTTTTCTTTTTATGACCATATCTACCTCCAGAATCAATCACTATGTTACACACTTGATAAGTTTCAGTATATAGGTAAGGCTGTTATCTTGCATGATCAGAATACACCATTTATTTTCCCCGATTTCCTTAACCCATCCTGACATGTGCCCACTGATGCGTGGGGAAGTCTGGAGCCTCCAGGCTAGAGACTGTAATGAGGAATTTCCTGTGACGTTTGTCTTTCAATGTCTGGATCAGGAAAGGGAGCTAGATATCCTTTAATTTGATTCTCTTTCCTCAGGCAACCCTAGCCTGTCCCTAATTTCTGTCTACATTGATTTTATCGCAACTGTTGAGTCCAGGTGGACAGGATGTGCAGATATACATCTTGACAATTAGTTTTACTGATAGAAGTGTTTACTAGTTATATGATGCAGTGAGAATCCTTTGTGAGAAACGTTTTAGGCATCCTTTTGTAGATTGCCTAGTATACATGTATACAGCTAGTAGAAGCAAGTTAAAGAATGGAAGGCCTTTTTTGTACTTGTGTACTCTTACAAGCTAACTACAGATCCTGATGATAAAGTTCTATGTAGAACAATATACTGTCAATACTAGTCACTGTGATACAAGTCTGTTATATGTATCTTATATTACATCTACACTCTACAGTATCCAATTACTAGTATGTACAGGTCCAACCTTCTTACTTCTTAAGACACTTAAGTAGATGCTAACACTTTGCTGACTCTGTGCGCTGCTAGAAAGATCTGGATCCTTACATCTGCTTGATTTGAAGTCTGACAAACTCTGACTGTAATTTATCCTGAATGTCACTGTGTGGAAAAACAAATCCTTTTAAAACCTTCGCATGCCTGGATAGGACACCTGTTGGGACATTCAAGCCTATCAAGCTACCCACGTAGTGAATAGGGAGCCAAACAGTCTACAACAAGTTTGAGTTGAATTGACAGTAAAGTCAACCAAATGGTGTCAATAGTCTAGCTGTTCTGTCTTCATATATGTCAGAACTTAGATTTGACACCTAGACTACTGCCAATGTGCTAGCCTCCACCAGGCTTCAGAAGTGGCTGAAAAGAGTAGAAATTGGCCAAATAGACAGATAACATGCCAGGGGAGTTGGTCCGCTAAAGGAGCAGTTTTTAGGAAAGGCAAACTGTACACCTTTAGCAGACCAACTCCCCTCGCATGTAGTCTATTTGCCCAATTTCGAAACTCTATCCAGCCGCTTCTGAAGCCTGGTAGAGGCTGCCAGTTATGATCCTTGACTTGTCCAAATTTGTCACCACTCTAACGACATGATAATCCAAACGAGGAGTAATTAATTGTCTTGTTGAGCCCTTCCTTCCTGTCGGACCCTTCTTACCTGTAGGCGACTGTCCTAATGACTCCAATCCTCCCACCAGGGACGGCCGGGGACAAGAAGAACTTGTTTGTGATCCCACCTGAGGTGGTCCTGAGGTATGTTGATCCGACTTCCTGGGTTCTAGATGTGATCTCACTCTGCTGGGCATGCAGCGCTGGCAGTCAGTGGGCGGGAGGGTCCGTGTTGGGACGGAGTTTGGACATGCTATAAGTAGAAGCGTTTTTCTGTGCCTGTGTACAGAGTTTCTAGTACAAGATTGTCACAATGAAGGCAGCTAGGATGAGTGTTTGTGTGGTGCTTGTGCTTCTCACAGTTACAGGTAAGTTAACTGGTTTGTTAATGTTGACTCACCTAATGTTGGAAAGACTTTGAAGTACCCTATGATATAGTATAGATTTACAAAATGTCATTGGAACGTTTTAAAAGAACTCTAGCGATGCACCATGCAAGTTTCCATATCCAATGTAATCACTGTAATCACTTTAAAACTGTTTTCTTGTGTAAAGAATATAGAATATATGAATGTGTTGAGATAAAACTTCTGACTCAGAGGCTTTTCTATTGAAAGGCTAAATTGGGTGTCTTCCAGTGCCACACTGTAATCTTGAAGAAATTATTATTAAAAAGAATTATTGTTGTGCTCAAATTATGTAGAGCAGTGCCATCCAGTGGTGTAGAATAAAAGGAAGATGATAGATTTGGATTGAAAAGAAAGTTCTGACAAAATGCCTCAAAAGACTAGTGGCTCATGTATTATCAAAAGAACTACGGAAACAGTTGCTGTACCTCTGTCCTTGTAAGCACCATATGATTAGCATCTTCCGGGGTTTCATGTTACCAAACTTTAAAGTTATCGCATTACCACTAATCTTGTTGACAAGATGAAATCACTAGGTGCACATTCAAACAAAAGCGAGAAAAAACGTTTCAAACTAAACCACCAGTCTTTCTGTATAATAATGACAATATTCAGAAATACCTCCTATACTAATTTTTCATCTCTTTCTGAACATATTGGCCATTAATTGACATTAATTATAATTAATTGCCATCTTATATATAAGGTTGAGCTTTTTCAGTGTATCTTGCAATGGTTTCTTCTCTATAGCCCCCTGTTGTATGAGATTTAGATTTTCCCTGTGGTATAATAGCACCTGTGACCATGCTTCTGTGTAGGTGGTTTCAAACCCACGTTAGCACATTCTTGCGGTAACCCAAACAGCTGAATAGCCTTAGGTCGTAACTACTTCCTTAGTTGTCTTTCCAAAGGGTCTATTATCGTAATTCCTTTGTTTAGATCAACACGAGACCCGTCATTTCCTTTGTGCTAGGCGTCAAAAGGCAGGGACTAATTCATTATTGTATGCATGAAATTTCTCAAAAGCACAGTGACTCCACGCTTTTATTTCAATTAAGTGATTGGTATGAATAAGGCAAGTCGTAAACAGGATGACACTTGAAAGCCCACTGTTTAGCACTTCATTACATGTATTGCACTTCATTACAAAGTCTTGATAATTGACACCAGTTATATAAAAGTAAACTGTCAATGCATCTGCAAGGTGTTTAGAAGAAAAGAAATTGACACTCGTCTCTGCTCTATCTATTCATGGCTTACTTTCTGTCATTGCTGTAAAGTAGGAGAATTTATCCAACCTATTTATTCAAAACAGTCCATTTCTTTTGGAGAGGGGAACCATCTAGTACAATAGGATCTGCTTAAAGTTTATGGTCTAGACGTTTAATGCAAATTCTTTTCAATATTTGCCATGTAAAAGCAGGTTTTTAATGTCTCTCTAGAATTATTTCAGTTGTTGTAATACATGTAGAACATTTATGCCAAGTTCCATGCTTTTGATTTGATAATTGAGCAATTTTTGTACCGATCACCTGGACGATTACCTAACTGATGATGTATATATCATATTTCATATCTTAAGTCACACTGGTCCATAACACATTAAATATTGATATATTCATCCATGGTTATATTGTTACCCTATCTGTTGTGAACCCACTGTATACCATTTGTCCAAGAACCCTCCTATTTTAGAAGTAGAGCAGTCCTGTTGTAAACCCCCCTGTCTGACAGTAGAATAGTCCAACCCAGGAACCTCACTCTGGTGCTAAGACATGCCCGTAGCCAGGGGGGGTTCGGGGGGTTTGGAAGAACAACCCCCCCAAAGGTCCACTTTTTGGTCCACTTTTTATGTAAAGGTCCACTTTTTGGTCCACATTTTATGTAAAGGTCCCCTTTTTGGTCCACATTTTATGTAAAGGTCCAAGATTTTTCTTGAAAAGATGGACTGGAATCGTAGAAAAACGGCTCCCTTTGTCATTGAATAAAAATTTATTTCTGATTTTTTTTCTCGTAAATCCTCTCAAAAATGCACGAAATGCCATTTTAGAAGGTTAATTTTTCAAAATTTCCCGGGGGAGCATGCCCCCGGACTAGGGCTGCGTACCTAAACGTAACATCAGGTACAGGTACAGGTACCGGTACAGAGGTTTAGGTACAGGTCCGGACCTGTACCTGTACCTGAACAATTTACGCGGCAAAATACAGACACAACACAAAAGCAACAAAGGCCGCCAATATGGAGGGAAGGGAAAATGACTGACCTCTGACCTGATTTGAGTTTGTTGACCAATTACAACCCTGGATTAGCCACACTCTCGTGATGTCTCGTGAGACTGAGGATCTCAAATCAATCGACGGTGTTTACGTCTTTTCCAGTGCCAATTTTTCGTCTTTGTGGTAGGATTTACCTATCTTTAGTCATATACATGGTGTAAACTAGCTATTTCGGTATATACTCGTTACTTCATGATCCGGTATTTTGGACCTGTACCGAAACGATTTTTACGGTATTGGACCGGTACAGTGTACCGGTCCGCAGCCCTACCCCGGACCCCTACGGCGCTCGAGGTCCACTCAAGCAGTAGGAAGAACCCCCCCATTCAAAATCCTGGCTAAGGGCATGTAAGAGTCCTGGAGGCAGATCAATAAAGTATGAAGCTCCTCAGAAGTCCAGTGTGCGACCAGTTCTTCATAATCAAGTAGAAGAACCTGCAACAATATCCTTACTCTTCTTTCTGCTTGTTTTAGCCGGTGTACAGAGTGGATACGAGTCTTCGCTGTCTGGCACCTGTGATCTCTCTGACCTGTACGGCATGGCCGCGGTCTGCGAAACAGACTTTATATGTCACAGTCAGCAGTATGACTGCAGGTATGGATAGGGTACATACAATCATGTATATGCTTTTGATTTGAAAATGTGTACTTATGATGTCAATGAACAATTACACATGACTTTATGATAGAAATATCTGTAGATTGACTGTGAGTGATCTACTGTTACAGTAACAGAGTATTAGGTCACAAAACATCAATAAGGTTAAACTTCAATATCTTGATTTTCAATATGCTTTTCATAAGATATGCAGATCGGGGTAAGTCATGTCATTACTTCCTGGTGCCAGAGGAACATGTTAAACACTATGAAGTACATGTAGTCATGTATGTGAGAATAAAAAGGCTGGGGCCACACATATGCTTTCAGATACATTTCAGCATCTCAGTTTCATTTTCAAGTTTGCTGGTAACTGTTATATTAGCTACACATGTACATTGGTGTGTGTATATAATATAATATAACATTTTTTTCCTTGTTTTCTCCCTCTCCACAGTTCCCGATATGAGACCCTGCTGTACTGTGTGACCGGGATCGTGTGGAACTGTTTCCGAGGGATGATGACAGATGAAGAACTCGTCGTCAAGGCAGCTACTGTACAGATGATGTTCAAGACATCAAGAAGCCAAGAATTCTACTGCAGGTTTCTGTATTTCCTTTTCCCATTTGTGTGTCAACTGTCAAGATATGTCAAACAAGGTGGAAATGGCTTCCACAATAATCGGCCAAAAATATACTTAGTCTTTACTACAACATGTAAGTACACTTTTTATCTCTTACTCAGTTTTAGTCCACATGATACACAAACTAATAGTACCTATTGCAACTCTTCTTAATGATACTAGTAAGAAAAATTCTGAAATGACTATGGATAGAATCATAAGTACTTGTGCACGATGCATTTGGATGTTTTTTACAGTTTTCATAGATGGACATTATCTTTTTAATGTCATCATTTGACAGTTTGCTTCTTCATGTTATATGTATGATAGATTATAGATATGAACCAGAGTCTTGAGAGTACATCCACAATTCAAAACTCACATTAAGCACTCTGGATAAGAAAGGCTGTGAGTAATTTAAAGTTTTGGAGCAGTCTTCAACAACCTATCTTTTCTTCTTCTGTTTTCTTCAGTGGAAGGATATGGACTCATCTAGACGTGGGCAGGTACCTTGCTGAACATGACGGGGCGTGTACGCCTGCCTTCTATGATGAGAAGGACGAATGCTTCTCTTCGGTGTCTCCAACTTTAAACAGTGGACAGTTCCTAGATCCTCTCCTTTGCAGGTAACTGTCATTCCATCATTATCTTGTTGTGAGAGTTTCACGTATGTTTGTGACTGTCATTTACCAATTCAAAATACTAGTACCTGTACGGGTGTAAGTATCTATGTTTTACCATCAACGGCGAAATGGAATCTCTGTTTGTAGGTTTAGGTTTTGACTGTTTTGTATCTGACTAAGACCACACTGTATGCACTGTAATGTGGATGTATATACTAAGTACACAAGACAATTTTTTACTCTAAGCTTGACTGTCATGTGAATGATTACACACATATGCATAAAAGATTATCAATATAATTATTTGTTTCCTAACACCCCTGATTCCTCCAACTCAACTTACTGTACATGATTGTATATTATGTGGGTCATACACATCTTTAACCACACATACTGTATACCCTTTCCTATCATTGATTCATGGACCAAAAGTGTGCTGATATAACTGTCATGTTTCCCTCCAGTAACTACAGCGTCGCTCTGGAGTGCACGAGGGAAGCCATGCGGAAGAACTGCAGATTTCCCGGGGAGAAACGTAACGTGTCCGTCGGCCACAATCCGTTCTGTGACTGTGAGGACGTGTTGTCTACAACTGTGAACAGCGACAGTTTCACAACCAAGCCCAACATGCTCCCCACTGATGCATCCACAGATGTCACAACCACTGAAGCCTTGGATAATAAGACTTTGATAATGCAAACGTACGAACCGCCTTTGGACAATCCTATAGAAAGGGTGGAGGATATAGACAAGGATTCAGTGAGCAACAAGGCACATAACTTATTGGCTTTGTCAATGGTCTGCATAGCTGTAGTGATATCAGTCACTCTGCTATTGATTCATATCAGCTAGATGACACCTTGTGATGTTACAACTATTTTATTTTCAGACATCAACTCTTTTAAGGGTTTGAATTGTGTGGAATACAAAGTGTATTCAGAAGTTTGTTATTCCTATCTTATATACATGGTAAAAATGTTACACTGCACAACGAAATGTATACCATTCTACAAATATATTATGTAAACATATTGATCTTAAAAATATTCTTGCAATCAAGATATGTTACAAACATTAATGTGCATGTTGCATGTGATTAAATGTGTTACAACTATATGTTAGTAACAGTTAGATATGTTTACTAAGCTCATCCTTGAGTTGCAGGCAACCCATGATAAATTTATGATACTTTGTAACAACATTTAAGATTAATTATGACAGCATTAGGCCTTTATATAGCCTTTTGTGACATGAGTACACAGTTGAATATAAATATCTATGTATGACAAACATTAGTAAAAGTAGTGTTCTACTTTGACATACATGTACTAGTAACCAGTTCTATACTCATTATCATGTATCTATCATATTTCTGATATATGGTCCATGATCACCCGTCCATTGTTTTTGTCATTTCTGATTATGTTTCTAAAGTTGTCTCTATTATGATATAGAGGTGTAATCAAAAGAGGTTACAGAGTGATGCTTGTTTGAAATAAACCATCTAAACTTGTAAAGGTCTATGTGTTTCCATTGCAGTGTGTGTCTGTGTGTGTGTGCGCGTGTGTTTGTGTGTGTTAAGTACTGGATTCAACCGCTAGTACAATCCCCCTAGTCAATCAAGTGGTAGAACTTATTAAAAAAAGTCTATCAATAAAACGGCCAGTTTATGATTAATTTCCAGTATTTTGGTAATCAGAAATAGCCACAATATCAAGAACGAGAGCAGGAGAAGTGGTCACAACCTTTGAAGAAGTGAGCTCTACGCTGTCTATCTCATTTCCACATGAATGAAAGCCAAGTAGAATCGTAACTTTGCACGGGGATAGCCATACTATAGTATACGCGTGACATCTGCTTGGTTTTCATTCATATGGTAATGTCTCCGACAGCGAAAACTCCACTTCTGCAAAGCTTGTGACCACTTCTGCAAGCGATCAGCTGATCGCAAAATCACGTTTTGACGTATAACTCGAGAATGAAACAAATTCGGTCCAAGGCATTAAACAGGAATATAATAGAGACACTTAGGAGTATACCCTGAAAACAAGGAGGCCGAAAAATGTCAAAAGTTTGATTTTTCTAAAATTGAAAATTCGGATATTCATCCCCTATCACACCCCCGTTTTGGAGCACCCGTTCAGAAAAGGCCCGTATCTCGCTAATGAAGCCTCGCTCATTCCCAGATTTGGCTATTTCGCGAGTGGGGAAACGCGATGGGCTCTTCAGGGGGTTTTACTCCAGGTCTTTTCCGCTCTCGTTCTTGACCTTGAGGCTCACCCAGACTACCAAACTATCACAAATTTATAGGTTAAGAACCATTTTAGCCTTACATTTGTCAACTTTGCGACAAATATTCCTAGAACGGCTTGTACGGGCGGCTGAATACGGTGCATTTTCGACAATATTTCTGTCATCTTAGCGTTCACGAAACCACTAATCCCTAGAAAACGGTACCGTTTATACGAAATGAAACTCTTCTACGTCCTTTACATCAACTGAAATACTTAAAGTTGACATATTTTCAAACATTTTGCAGATTAAATTTCAGCATGTTAAATAAAAATGTTAGCTATATCCTGCAGTAGCATGTACATGTAAACATTCATTTTCCCACTGAAGTAAAAGTTATATTAGTTCCTGAAGTAAACTCAGGAAGCAAAATGACACAAAAATAGTACTAGTCTACTTACTAGTATTTCTGGGAAACACAGGTCTCAATCCAGCAAATTATAGTTCTAATGGCAGCCGCACTTCAACTGATTGATATTTCATTATTTGTCCTGTTTAGAAATCTCATTAAGTTCTCTAAGCACGGTCGCAAACTTTCTGTGGTAGTCCAAATCGGGTCTGTAAACCCGGAATGTTTTTGTGCTGTCCTTCTTTCCTACCGTTGACAGGGTGCGATTTGCCTTTCCTACCGCCCCTGATGTAGTTTCTTTGATAAAACCAACCATTTGTAGGTCTTCCGTGTTCGGGTCCTGACTTTCCTCTGCGTACACATCCATGATGATAGTCATGAACATACTCAGTAATACAAACTGCATCATGCATTGGTACGAGAAGAACATCAGAGGACCGAGAATATAGTGACCATCAACAAGAGCGTGGAAATCAAAAGCACCCAACATCATGGTACAGAGGCTGGTCAGACTGGTCAGCATGTTCTTGTAATCCTGGAGTTTGGTGCCGAACAGGAGATTCCCCATCTGAGTAAAGGCCATGAGGATGATGCCAGCTACGAAGAAGAACTGCAGAACAGGTTTGGACGACTTCTTGATGGTCATGGAGAGCGCGTGGACGTGCGAGTTGAACCGCAAGAGCCGAATGAGCTTCAGCGTTGCACAACAGATGAGAAACGCTAGAAGGTACGTGTAAACCTGAAACCAGTTCACGGCGCTTTTGTAGAGATCGAAAACAGAGTCCGAAGTTGTTCTCTGTTCTGCAGCCTCGTCAATGATGCCCTGTGCGTTGAAGTAGACTCCGAGGGTGGAAAACCCAACGGCAATGACTAGGAGTTCTACCCAACTCCAGAACTCACTCAGGTACTCGATTGGACGGGCGAAAAGGCTCTTGGCTGCAATGATATACTGTATTAGATGAGCTGTGTACACATAGCTGTGTAACATGAACTTATATATCAAGCAGCTCCCTAGAGCCAGAGGGTATAATGCACTGATGAGTAGTATCAATAGCATCAATTTAGGTAATCTCCAAGCAGAGCCTAGGGTGACAACAGACCGTATCAAATTGGCGCCAGGCAGAATCCATTCGCCAGAGTCCAAAACGCGACCCATAGGATCTATTTGGAGATAGCAATTTCGGAAAAATCGGATCTCATAGACAGACAAAAACACCATTGCAGTTTTTTCAAGACTTTCTTGTGCGAGACACCATCGTCGGCATTCCTTCAATGAGGGATCAAGAAAATGTACTCACCTTCTTTAATGGCGAAGAAAAGAAGGAAGACCGCCAACACAGCTCGGAGTGCGAAGAGCAAGATGGCGTCGTTTTGGATCAGCCTCTCGGTGACGACTTCAGCCCCCCTGTAGGCGGCTCCCAGGTTAGTGAACTCCACGACTAGAGTCACTGCTGAGAACAGGTTCGCGTGTGGGTTGTACAGAATCAGTTCCACGAACACGGCGCGGCTTCGCTCGTCCAGCCAGTTGTGTTCTTTCAGGAACGCGGCCAGGCGTAGGCTCGACGCACGCGTGTTGCCCAGCGGAGTAGAGTACCCACCGGCCAGATATGTGCCGTGCTTTCCAAAATACGGGAAGCCTAGGTACATGGAAGTAGCACAGTGTATTTGTAAATACACCAGCAGATGTTTTATTGAGTAGCATGAAAAAGAACTAGGGCACAGTGGTGACGAACTCTAGCAACTAATAGATTGTGATAATATAATCAAGAAACAGGCTAGGTTTCTTGTACCCAATGCCAATCCCCCTTTCCAAACTATTTTTCGAATAGGTATGTAAAGAAAGACCGAATGCAGCCGCAGGGCTTATCCAACGTTACAATGCAAATGCAGAACACAGTGGAAAAGAGAGATGTGTCAAAAGGGTTGATACAGAACCTGAAAATGAAGATAGTCTAGAGTGCTTGAAGAGACAGTTTTCTTGTGTCCAAGGCCAAGACCCTTTTCCAAACGCTTTTTTCCAAACAGGTATGTCTTACAAGCAATTGATACAGAAAGTGTAAAGATATGGAAGATAGTTTATAATTCAGTAGATGAATAAGCAGCACTCTCGCAAAAAAACTTTGACAATGAATTTCCTTACTGCCAATCAGAGAGGCGAATCTGTACTTCCATGGCGTGTTCGTTTCCTCCGTTGTTAGAGGGATAGTACAGCCCGCTCCTGTGACAGGTGTGCTGACTGTACTGGTGAGTGGAGGTACTGTCGGGGCACATGTGACCGTGTCTGTACTGTTCAAGGTGTCATTAACAGGAACCCATCCCTGGAAATTGACAAATATAGTGCCTTTTTATGGTAAAATATCAATACATATCAAAAGTACAACTGAAGTATTGAAGCAAATCAATCAAGAAACGATATCGTATCAAGAAAAAAAGATAAGATATAGACTCTTATCCTGTCTTAAACGGGGATATGACGAAAACGAGAATAGATAAGGTAATAAAGTTTAAAAGGCCTTTTTTGGCTGTAGAGACCAGTAAGGGCAGTGGGTTGTTATCCACTCTGTCTTGGACATGGTATTTGAATGTGGGGCCCATTCCTCTCCTTCCACCACCTTTACCTCTCCAACCGAAGTTGGGCACCCGGTTTCCACCTGAGTGAGAAATATCATGTACGAGTATCAAGAAAAGATAATTTGACATAATTACCGGGGTATAATCGTCCGTGTCAGCTGTCATTGTAGAGTGTCGCACTGTACATCTCGGTACAAACGTTCGCATTTCCTCTGGGGTCTCACAGTGTTGTCCTGATCAAACATTAATATGCAAGATAAAAGGACTTAGAAATGTAGAGTAAACAAAAAAACAAACACATCAAAACATGTTCATAAACACATTATGTTTTTTACACTGGAATGCAGTCAATGCTTTACACGAAGACCACTCAAGAGACCAATAGATCCAGTCAGTGTGGACAGGTGGTCACAATAGACAGGATTCTTACTGTTTGTGTCAATGATCAAAATTGTCTAAGGCCCTTTGCCCACCTAGAAAAAAGTGTCCGGATCGAGCCGAATTGATTCGTTTTGATCCGGTTTCGAGCCGGATCGAAGCCGGATCAAAGTGAATCAATTCGGCTCGATCTGGACAATTTCAGCCTAGTGGGAATGGGGCCTAAAGGACCCCCAAAAAGTGGTCACAGTTGCCATGTGGTGCGTAGATGTCGTTACTTGTTTGATTATATTGTCGTCCCACACCTGGTTGCAGCCGCACTTGTCTGAGCTGCACGGCGTCTAGCGGGTGAGTTAACATGTCCTGCAGCACGTTGTCAGCCGGGTTAGCCTGTCCGTTGTACCATTCCGCCGTACGGGTGGCGGGAATCAGGTCGTCTTCAACCCAACTCCAGAACGATGGAATGTCACGGATCTAGACAGGTACACAGGATTTATTATACTGTACGTTAAAGAAAGTTTATTGCAAGTTATTTTCCGTAGGCTAATTGCAAGTACAATAACATGAAAATATAGGATGGAATAGTCGACAAAAAAGCTAGGGTCGCCGGGTTTTTGCTACAGTTGGTAGGTAAACCGGATACAATTTTTTTTTCATCTAAAAAAGTTTACGTTCTACTCTGTGCAGAGCATAAGGGTAGTGCCCATCTCTCTTTCTGGCCCTTGGGCCACACAGTTGTACAAACAATACAACGGGGGTTAACCCGCTGGTAGTATTGTGTGTTTGACATTCCCACACCCTTTCTCATAGATGATAAGTGCGGATAAGCAGAGAAAGAAGCATGTACCATTTTTAAAGTCTTGGGTATGACCCGGTCGGGATTTGAACTCACGACCTCCCGGTTACAAAGCGAACACTCTACCCGATCTAGCCCTAACCAGTTCTCGTGTCACTTACCTCAGAGAAGTCTCCTTCCAATATCTGCCCCTTCACGTTGTTAGTCATGTAGAAGGCGAGCGGGCTCCGTTCTTGGTACGCCATGAGCATGATGGCCGTCACGAACAGCCCGAACACGACCACCTCCAGCACAGCCGACCGACGTTTGCGTTTCTCTGCGCTCCTGGCTCTCGCTTCGGCCAGCACAGACTCGTCTGGTGGCAGCGTGGACCGCTCTTCGTCTGGAGACTGAAACAACAATATAGAATTATTGTTTCACATTAAAAAAATAATGATGGTCACTCCTATGGCTTATCTATATGATGTAGGACTATGTATGAATTGAACAGAATCCATGATGTATACGTATGATGTAAGGAAAGACATCAAAACACACAAAAACTTACTGAAGACATTTCTTTATATTAAGTAAAATTCGTTTGAATTAGTACTACTTTGCATTTTTGGTCAACCAATGGTCCCTTAACTGTCGTATTCCCCAGTACAAAATGTGTATAATAAAGCAATAACTCAGTGCGAAAGCAGGTTCATATGCTCACTATCATAGTATATAAGCAGTGAGTTTGAAAATAACGCAACAATCACAGCACTAGGCTTACCTTGGAGTTGGCACCATACGCAGCAGAATGGTCTGTCCCGATGTATCGCATCCAGACTGTGGCACTTGTCCATGCCTTCTTGTCTGTTAGCGACTCGCCCTGTGGAAATTAAGGATACATTGCTGTATTACAGTTACATGGAGAGTAGAAATTTCAAAGTAACGATGTTCATACCCGTACCCCTTCCAAATCAACATTATGGTCTTTGTTTGTTAACATAACCGGTAAACCGCCTTTTTAGGCGTAACACACCAGTTCTGTACATTATACATTATATATTAAGTACAAACTTACAAAGTCCGAACTGTAAGGTTTGAACCACTCACACTGGGAAGGGCACCCACTCTTTTCGATAAGTGTGGTGGGTTCTTTAACGTGCGTGGGATGTGGCTCTCCCAAATAAATCCACTCTAAATCCATACCAGCGTTTATTCCATTAAGTGACATTCAGATGTGCCTAACATGTAAAAAAAACTGTTACCTGAGTATCGCTGTAGATGTATTCCTCGTCGTCTTCTGTGGGTGCGGGAGCTGGGTCTTCATCCTCCACGGGTTTCTGCAGGGTTAGAATCAAAATCTTAACTCAAGAACAGTTTTACACCCAGTTGCTGCGATGAAGTGTCCGCACGTAGCAGTACTGTATCTCTAAACGTTTTATTGTACATCTAACTAACTGTAAGCATTGTTTAAAGCTATCGAGTGATGATAACCCTATTGTACTTGGAGGCAGCGCGCTCCACTCGAGTACAGAAAAACACCTCAATCCTTAGTTGATGACTGCGGCACTTGAAGGCATGACTATTTTATGTTCTTTTCTGAGCTGGTATTAGGTACTTGAAATGTTTTATCATTCATGCATTACATCCAATGGCAAATGTTATTTCAATGATATTCAGATATTGATAAAGGTCCCAGAGCAAACCTTACATGTTGCGAAAGAACATACAAGTCACAGTGAGACGTTTCGTACCTTGATTATCAAAGCAAACAGCATGGCGACCAGCATGAGTTTGAAGGGCTGCACCAGGAACAGGTCGGTGAAGAATGACGTGACGAAGGTGAAAACCCAGGCCTCTGCCTTCGCCCTGCCGAAACTTAACGTGTAGAGAACTGTGAAGAACGCCGCCACGAAACTCGCCGACCACACTAGCAGCCAACCTGTGGTGCATACGGTTTGTCATTTAGCAAATGTTTGTTTGTTTATTTGTTTGTTTGTTCAATCGCGGTGAGTTTAAAGCCACTGCTTAGCAAGGAGATGCATGTATGTGTCGGTGTGTGCGTGTGCATGGATCGTGTTCAGCACCAAGGGCAGGTCTGTTTGCTTCATTTGCGTTTGTGCGTGTTTGTTTGTGTGTGTGCGTGTGTGTGTGTATGTGTGTGTGTGTGTGTGTGTGTCTGTATGTATGTATGCGTGTGTGTATATATGCTGTGTGTGTGTTCTTCCAGTGAAATTTTATCCCCCTACATACATAAATCCACAGGATAGCAACACGTTTACAGCTCACCTACAAACACAGCCCACCAGGGGAGAGACGACTTCATTCCAGACTTGTCGCTTTCGTCTTCCCGTTTCTCAGGACTTCCCTCAACATCATGATCCATGGACGACTGCAGAACGCTCAGCTTGTAGTCCGTTGAACTTTTACCAGGGTCTGATTTGTCCCTTGCGTACCAAAACGACGGCGTATCCGGGTTATTGGAGGTAAACACTTTCTTCCCCCTAGGTTTTCCCTGCAGTAGTGCTAAGAAGCGTCTGTCTGACTCAGAGCCCGTCTCCTTGCTGCTGCTCTTTTTCGGCGCCCTTGATCCCGAGTTTCGGAAGAGAAAGACGATGAGAAGGTTGACTGGCAGGATGATGACTGCACTCTGTATGCCGATCATCAGCTGAGGTAAAAGAATGTACAGCATTGAATGATTGAAAATATTGCATTCTACTGGACTGTTTTGATACTTTGCAACCGATTCCTACATGGTTAGGTAACGCATTTTGCTTTGCCATTGGCAAAACACATTTTGCATCACAAAAAGAAAGGTTGAATTGAACCACAAGTAATCAGGACGCCCGTATTCATAATATGCATGTGTATAGCCGGTATAAACACGCTTCACATAACGGTGCAACACATAACTTCATGAATACCTGAGGGAGAGATATAGGAGGGTCGATCTCTAAACCGGCAATCCTGAGCGGCTCCGGCGGGTCGAAGTCGTCCCCGCGGCCGAAGAACATGATGTTGGTGACCATGGTGCTGTAGAGCAGCGTCAGGCAGCAGGACAGGCGCTGGACTCGGGTGAAGGGACTCCGGGCCGGGCGGCCGGCGATGGAGAACCACAGGTGGCCGTCGTTCATGTCTCTGTGGGGAATATGTACAGATCAGTTGGTCAAAAAACGACCTGTCTGGTACCATGTTACCACTGGCCAGGGCGATATACACTGTAAAATTATAACCATTCTTGAACAATTAGCCATATAGTGAAACCAGTCGTGAGAGGCAGAATAAAAGTTCTAAACGGGAACTATGCGGCTAGCTCCAGATGTCTTATCGAGGGACGACTGTGTTGTGATAGATGTTGATAGTGCAAGTTGGTGTTACTCTCCAAGCAGAGATTTAGACATTGGCTTATGTTGATGTGGTTTATGCGTTTTTATCCGGCTTTCTTTTTTGTTCTTGTATCTTTTTTCTCCATCCTTTGGTGGCGTATTGGATACTGCCTTGCCCCTTTTGATACTGCCAAAATATCTGCTTGGAGATCAAGTTTGTGTTTTCTTAGTAAATGCATTGATGCAACTTTAATCTGTATGTGTGGAGAGGAGAGGGCCAAGATAAATAAGGTATACGTTTTGCCCCGTCCTCCAAAAACAGATTTCAAGAAAATAAGAAAAGAAATTTAAAGCTACGTAGTGTCTGTGGTGAAGTTGCCAAATACCGTGAACTTTTGGCGAAGAAAACGTTGCGGAACTTCGTCATTTCCTCTTCTCCTGCTGTGGGGATGATCCGGTCTATCCTCCCGTCATCTTCATCAACTGCGAGCCATCTGTTTCAAAGAAAGACAACATGATGGCGTCACATATTCATTCTTCAATCCGTTCATTCATTCATGCTTTCCATTGGTTAAGTCTATCCTTATGAAACCTTTGGCACCCTGACGTATATTCCATAAGGTACTGTTGATAACATACGCCAAAAAGCAGTTACTCAAGCAACTGAATATGATTTTGGAAAATCATGTCTAGTTGCTTGATTAACTGCTTTTTGGCGTATCTTATTACCTGGATGTCTAACCTTCATCGATGTTGATAATTATATAACATGTTTACAAGTTAACAAAAGTGTTCATAGCCTGTTGAATAATGTTTAGAAAATGTCATCAAGAGCAAGAGCAGTAATTTTTACCTGTTACTTAGGAAGTAGGTCGAATGATTTGTTCTCCTGTTGACCACGACAATCTGACCTAGGAACCTGTAGCAAAAGACAAAAAGGCAAAGTAGACACAAATCAAGCGAACAGACCTGTCCTTGGTGCTGAACACCATCCATACAGACACACACACACACACACACACACACATATACATACATCTCCGTGTTAAGCAGTGATTTTTAACTCACCACGATGGACTAAACCCAGCGTTGTTGTGCCACACCCTCATGTGAGTGAGGACCCCTAGCGGCTGTTCTGTAGACACCAGGAAAGAGTCCACGCTGCCCTGTTGGAACAGAACTCTGTTGCCGTCCCTCAGGGTGAGGGGAGGACTCTCGTAATGGATGCCGTATAACACCAAGGTAATCTGTGATGAAATGTAGAAAAACATGATATTACACATTTATAGAGCTTTAAAACGTCGCATCATCTGAATTTAAAACAAGTAAAGCAAGGTAAAGGTATCTCACCGATTTTTACCTCAATTGATGCATTTATCTTTGTATGTATGCTTTACTTTCTTATTTTTTAAATCTATATAATGATATGGGCCTTTGGTGCCTGAAATAAATAATAAGTAAAAATATGTTTATTACGTTTCCAACAATTCAACAGTGTTATAGAGGATATATGTTTTGCTGTGTAACCAACATCACTGTGTGATTATCATTGTTTATTTTTAGAGGATATTTGCCTAAAGTGACGTCACCTCAGCTGTTGTTCCCGCGTTGCCCCGGAAACCGGTGTAAACAGTGATGACGTACTGACACTCCCGGCGTGGGTTCAGTTTGTGACCCGGTAGTATCGCCACTCCGGCCTGCAGCAAGGACAGAATGGATGAATGAATGAATGAATGAATGAATGAATGAATGAATGAATGAATGAATGAATGAATGAATAGAAGGATAGATGTGTGTCAATCAAACTATTGAATAACGTCAAAATACGTGGTGTGGTGTCGTATATGTGTAATATTGCAAATCGGTAAACAACACTACATGAGTTATTTCGGCGGATAGATGTCTTTTTTGACATTAAACAGATATTTAATATTGACATTTCAGACATTTGATGTTATAAATATTCTGCATCAAAGTCGAAAAAACTACCAATAGAACAAATCTGGTGCTCTGTTCTTTGGATAACAGTTAGATAGATAGATTTGAATTTCTTTACATCTACAACGTTATACTTAAAAAACATATGCAAAGAATACACCCAATTCATGAAAATGCAGACTGTATTATCTTGCTGACCTTAGCGATATCTTTCCTGTCAGTCTTCCTTGCCCAGATGATGCCCATGACGTAACCACTGAACACGGTAAGAACCAGGACGAGACCGATGGGGTTCTCCAGTATGTTTGCCTTCAAAGCGTCCTGGATGTTGAGCGGATTCGGCGCCACGAACCCGGCAAACTTGGTCAGGTGGTTACACCGGCAGTGGATGTGGGTGATGTTAGACATTACACCGACCTGTGGAAGAAAAAATATTTCTAACTCCAATCAAATTATTGAAGAGCTAAATTATATATATACAAGAATACTAGTTGTAGAAGCAAAGAATGGGAAACAGATAATAAAGTAGTGTCAACTGTGGTTAGTTCAGTTTACTTATATAATAAGTTTATCTATTGTTGTAAAATACAGAACATAAATAACAAATACAAAAGAATACATGCCGAGCAGGAAATGAATAATGAATACAATAATGATGATATACAATAATGATCAAATGATAACTTAAAACAAATAATTTATGAAATGATAATTGCGGAGATTGCTCCCATTGAATGGAGAAAGAAAGCAGGTGAGTACAAAAAACTCATACATATTGATGCAGAGTTTTCAGCTATGTCTAACTATAAAAATCAAACAAGCTTAATCTTTAAGAGCCAAAAACACGTGTTAAACCTACGCTGCAGCCGTCACTTTGCCACAGGTGGGTACCGTTCTCTTCAAAGTACACACAGGCCGTCTCAAAGGCGTACAGAGTGAAGTTGACGGTTTCACCGCTGCCGAGATCCCGGTCACTGTCGAACTGAACTCCTGTCATACAAAAAAAATAAAATTTTCTTTATTCTACAAAAAAATAAATCATTACAATTTTAAGTTATCGTATCCAAAACCGTGCCCATCTAGTTCTATGCCTGACTGGGTTATAGTTAGGATCAGGCACGGGTTTGGAGAGCCTTCGCGTGTCTAAGAACGTAGATTTGCCCTAGGCAAGGTTCTGGCTACGCGTGAGCTATCTAGAACCACCATTTATAGAAATAATGCCTTCTGTAGACGTGTTTCTTACCCAAAAGCTCTGCTATCTACATGTAAAACAAAAAAAAAACGTTTGGCCAGCACGGGGGTCGAACCCGCGACCTTCGCGTTATCAGCACGACGCTCTAACCAACTGAGCTAACCGGCCCGCATCTACATGTATTACCAAATTAATAAGCTTGGAATAAAGAATATTAACTTTGTTGAAATTGGCAACGGCGAAGCCCAAGCATGCCACGATTCCTTCTGTATTGCATGACTTGAGAACTAGATTATTAATTCAAAAAACCCAAAGGAACTGGATAGATTTGAAAACGGTCAAACGTTTCAGCAAGCACCCAATACCTTTCGTAAGTCGCTGTGGTAGGGTAGTGGATGCTACCTAAAACGTCTGGCGGTTTTTAAAGTCTATCCAGTTGCTTGAGTAACCATTTTCCTTATTTAAATTTATATTTTTGATGCGTCTAGACAAACCCTGTATCACAAACATGATCTGTTTCCACATTTTCCATTGTACAAAAAAAGCGAGAAGAAGTTGACCACTCTGTATTAGCTCAGTAACTAGAACACTTTGTATTAGCCTAATATAGTATCCTTGTATGTTCCTTATGTATGTATGTCTAAGTCAAGTAGTGTATCTTTTGTCTACACTTTTCTACATTACGTTTGTTATGTGTCTGTTAAGTCTTGACCTGTACCTAGCCCGTCGTGGCATGAATGTACAATAAAGGTATTTCATTTCATTTATATCGTACAACCTAAATGTCTAACCTTCATCGACGTAGGTTTTTGACTAAAACATGACATACCGATGTAATACTCCGTCTTATTCTCCACATCAAAGCCAGTGATGTCCACCTCCTCCTCCGGCAGAAGCCACTGGTACGGACTGGACGTCAGGGACGTTCCGTTAATCCACGGGACGGAGTACAGCCGGTCCTCCGGTACGGGCAGAGTGGCTGTCCAGTCATACATGGCCGGTGTCGGAGGCTCATGCTTACTCAGCCACAGGTTGACGGGTTGAGGGAAGAGGGTGCTGTTGAAATCCACGCTGAAACTCATCGAGGACAGGTTTCTCTTGGCGTAAAACTGGAAAACCTGAAATTATAGGAGTAGCTTGTTTTTACTTATCATTAGATGGCATCGATGGCAGAGTGGCTAGCGGACACGGGATCGACAGATCACTGGTTCGATTCCTGGCATTCCTGGATAGGCGTCTATACACTCTACACATACCTTCTCACTCCACCTAGGTGTAAATGGGTACTTGAATTCGGTTGAGGGAAAAAATGTGCTTTTGGTGGAAGAAGAGGGAAGGGCCCTGCCTTTCAATACCGTGCCCAATATACTGTGGAATAATAATCGACTGCCCCAACGGCTTTCAGAAAGGCTATGGTACTTTTATCCATACTTCTTGACTAAACAACAACAATTCAAAGTGCACGTGATTGTCAACTGCGTCCAATGACAGTGCTATTTGTTCCTGTATATGTATGTATATATGTAACCAATGTAAGTATACAATGTATGTATGTATGAATGAATACCAGGAAGACTAGTGGTGGACAGCCGGAAAGCCACGTCGAGAGTTCTATGCGTTTCTCTTTTCCTTCCGCGAGAGAAAGTAGTCCGTTCCACGGCTCCGGGCGTCGACTCGCCTCACAAGAAAGCTTACCGCTAGATTATACAATCAAATAACTTCCTTATTGTAACTTATTCATAATATTTAGACTTCTTTATTTGCTCCCCATGAATTTTTGAGCCGAGAATGTACCTTTCTCCTTTTGATATCATGACCTAAAATTAGGCAATTTTAGTGCAATTTCCCCGTGTATTTTCACCTTGATGGAGATTTCGCACCAACAGGAAATTTGTTGGGTAAAAAAGAGCAAACCTTAATCTTTCTGATGGTATTTGACTTATAGACGATTTCGAGGGCGAAACGGGTTTCCCCCCAAATTCGGTGAGGCCATGTCACGGGAGCAGGCAGGAAATTTTAGTGCAATTTCCCTGAGTATTTTCGCCATGATGCAGATTTCGCACCAGCAGGAAATTTGTTGGAATAGAAAGAGCAAATCGTAAACTTCTGATGGTGCTTGACTTATATTTGATTTCGAGGCCGAAACGGGTTTCCCCCGAAATTCCGTGAGGCCATGTTACGGGAAAAAGCAGAATTTTTCCCCAAATAGAACGCGCATCCCTGGCGCCGCGGCCGGCGAGGTACGTGTGTTCTACGGAGCGCGCTCCTCTCCTACATGCCCTATACATGACCATACATCGCTAGATTTAAATTATTGTCGACCTACGTCTAAACAACTTTTTAGTTAGACTACACTGGGTGTTAATTCATCTTATATCTAAACAGGTTCTTTATTTTGCACGCAGAATATATGTTTGTGGTCCCTTGATAGATACGGCCGATCTGAAACTCGAAACCAGCGTCTGCCTAAACGCGAGGAAACATTATACTCTCGTAGCTTCCTGACCTTTGGAAAAACGCACATCTAATTAGAGCAAGCGGACCATTAGAACTAGAATACCTCAAACATTGATTCATGATTGGGGAGAATTCAAAGAATAATTATTGTATCCGTTTTTCTCGATTTGAATGGCGCTGGGTTTAAATAGTTACTTAAGAAAAGTTACATTTATCGACCTGCTGCTTAGTAAAAAAAGTAGCCTATGGACACAACCCAACGCTTCTGGTACCTAGTCAGGACAGTGCAACATGTACATTGCATGCTCTGATTATGGGTAAGTTTATCCTGGATCTGTTATATCCAATCTACAGGTATAGTCCATGTGTACTGCTTACTATAATAAGATAACAGGTCCTCATATCCCTAGTTTTACACAAAAGCATTTGCATATTTCTAAAAGTGCTGGGTGTTATCAAATCCCTAAACATAACTCTCTCACATACATCCTAACAATTATACACAAAATTACCCAAGAGCCATTAACGTTGCTTCAACCTTTATCTCATTACCAAACAAAAAAACAAAGTAGTACATTTTGATGATGATGATGATGATGATGTACATTTTGTTGTGGACTGGGATATCAAATACTTGGGATCATTACATGTATACATAGTACATCTTTTACAGTACATATATTACTTAACACATGCTCAAAAGTTACAGTAGACATTGAATGCTGAATCGACTATTAAATATGATCCCAAATGGTATTAAGATTACAATAAACAGAATAGATGGAAATTAAGATCTCAATACATAATACATCTTATATATATATATCCATAATCTCAAGCTAAATAAACAATATAACATCCTGGTGTCCTGCTGGTGACAATCCCACTGGGTGTGGCTTTTACCTGCAAGGTGGAAGAATTTAAGAAATGTAAATAAGATACGACACCAAACCCAATTCACTCATTAATCAACATCAGAGAATTCTGAATCTGAAATGTTATCCAATGCAGACAAGCTGCCTATGTAAATGTCATCTATAAAATTAACATCCTGATCCTCACTATCAAAAAAGTCTTTTCTGAATCAGAATCATCATGCATTTCCTGATTTTGATCAATATGGAGTAAATTAGAACATTCAGAATCAAATGTTGAAGTTGGCATAGAAGAAATAAGTAATTTAGATTTGGACTGTACAGCTAGCTTGTATAGAAGTCCCATTCCACCCACAGGGACTTCCAGTAACATTAAATCAGGAGATTGGCTATAGGAATAAATCAACTCAGATTTTGTCATATGAAAAGGATAACTACAGTGGAGTTCAGAGACAATAAAGAAAATAAGGGAAGTAGTGAAAAGTCACCTCAGAAACTTAGAGCTACTATGGCTTGTCTCATCCTTAAGAAAGGCAAAGTAATGTCCAAAGATTCAAAATCAGAAAAAGAAATTTCAGACTTTTGCATAGTTAACACAACAATAAAATTCCAAACAGGATTTGTTTCTTTAGAAATGTGAAACAGGTTTATGCAGGGAGGTTGCAGTTTTATGCAGGTTAACAATTTCATGCAAGAAGGTTGGAATTTATCAATAAATTTGGAGGATTCTTAATGAATCACAGTATTCATATATAAAAAAGAAAGACCAGGGGCCAGAATTAATACTATCCTTTAAATCTTTTAGCATAGAAGCAAAACAAGACTGAACAGACTTGATCTCTTCATCTCTTGATCATATTTTTTAGAGTTATCTCTTGCCAATGAAGTGATTCTATAATATCACAATATCTATAGTATAACATTAAACTATGTTTGGTGTTAGAACTTTTGTGAACCAAAATAAAGTTTACTAAATCATTTAAGAGTCCAACCACAGTAGAATGTGTCATAATCAGTACATTACTTTGACTTTTACATTCAAATCCTTTCTTGAACTTAACATTTCTACATAAAGATCATCCACAAGAAGTATTGGTTTACTTTCAAAAAACAGTTCTCCAACCTTACAAGAAACCTGGTGCAATGCTACTTGAGGCAAATTTTGGGGGCTAGGGTCTTCCTGAAATTTTCTTAACATATAACGTTAGTGCACACTTTTGTTTTCACTTTTATTCTTAGTTATATATTTGTATTGGTTGTGCTTAAAAGTGTCAGGTGGGGCTGTTAATGTGACTGTAACTTGAGCACAGTCCCACTTTGTCCTTGTCCTTCTTTAAATTTTAGTAATAATTTTCTAAAAATGCCAGGAGAGAGGGTGACATGGTTTGCCCAAGGCGGTTTAAACATTTTAAACCTCCTTGGTTTTCCAGATACTTACCAATCTAGACTGTGAAGCCTATGATAATCTGAAACAGAAATAAAAGAATCCCCTTCACACATTTTTCTCAATTCAATACTAAAATGAACGTTAGTTTTATTTCAATAATCAATGATATACATGCTCAACCATTTATTATAATTTCTACAAATGTCACAAGCTGCCTAAACATGTAACGTTACATTGTGCACTGTTTTTATCATCAATCACTAGATATGGTAGTACATGCTTGTCTTGCTGTAACTTTAGACACTATGACAAGTCATTGTAACAATTTGCAGCAGTCATGCAGCTTTGTTGTTCTTGTATGACAACCAGACATCACGTGATAAAGTTGGCGGGAATTTTTTGCACAAACACACACAGAAGGGATGATTTCTTTTACGAAGTTCGTGATCCATCAGACTCAACTACAACGTTAACTTCAAAATTTACAATTGAATCTGTCCTTGTAAAGATCTAACGACTAAGAGTCTGGGTCTAAACTTAGACTAGATTAGTTCATCGGAAATGATTTTACCACGAACATGATGTTTACAAGAAATGAAGCACATATACGCAAATTATCCAACAATGTCCGAAATGAAATCAAACGACAAACTATGAGTTTTAGCCATAAAATTAGCCAAAAAAGGGACCCTAGTTGGCATTAAATTGCAAACCTATCGAGACTTCGCACCAACAGGATATTCATAATGGGAGATAGCCAAAGGTTCAACACATTTTATCCACATATCGTCATATGCAAAATCGAGGGCGAAACGGGTTTCCCCCCAAATTCAAATAAGACGAAAATTCAGATCAGTCCAGGGCGGCCATTTTGTTCATTTCACTGTGCACCAAGTTTAATCACAAAACTACACTAAAACTGATAGAATACCCCTCAAATATGAATACTACGGAGAGCCCATGATATACACGTCTGATACGTACCGCCATCTTGACGCAGAGACCGAAACTGGTGATGTAATCGGCTGTCAACAACTCGGATGAAATTTCAGCCCGCCGCCCGCGAAAACGTCGTCCTTAGCAACGGCGTTGCTATGGACGGCGGAGTGATACGCTCTGCAAAGAAAACTCGTTCGAAAAGCGTTCGATTCAGTACGTGGCTTTCCGGCTGGTGGACCCCGGGGTTCACCGCTAATGGTTATTCAAATAAAGTTTCAAAGTTTCAAAATTTTGACATTGAGGGGCTGGAGTTTAAAGTCATGTCCTTATCATAGTTTCAAGGACTTTGAAACTCAAGACCCACCGAAATGTTCCCCAGCGGCGCAGAAGCGGGGAAGATGTACATGAGATCCTCCAGACTCTTGTTCTCCCTCCGTGTCAGGATGTCTAGTGGCTCCTCCAGGTCCGACACAGGGACAGTCAGGTTCCCGCATTTCACAGCCAGGCCCGTCACGTCAGACCCGATGATCCGCGAATTGTTGGAATATTCGAACGGGTTGAAATTAGATTCCAGAAACTGCAAGTATTCAGCAAAATTATAAAAAAAATTTAACAATAATGGATACATTAGCAAGCAATCTATCCCTACCAATTACTTCATTTCAAAACTGATACAGGATTCTAAGTTTTATTCTAGCCTTTTTTGTGCTACGTTCAATAGTGTTGCCATACGTCGTACCATGTACAAATTGTCGTGCAATAACGTTCTTCTCGTTATCCTGACAGCATGAAAGAAGACTGTCTTGTCTGTTATAAGGCTAAAGTGTCGTTCGCGGCCCATAATTATGATTTGTAATTTTGTACGCAAACTCTTTGCAATTCAGGGAGTCTTATCCCTGCTGTAAGGTTTGCTTGTTGGTGTCACAAAGAAAGAAAGAAAGAAAGAAGGAAAGTGAGAAAGAGAGAAAGAAAAAAGAAAGAAAAACGAAAGATAGAAGGAAAGAAGGAAAGAGAAAGAAAAAAGAAAGAAAAAAGAAAAAGAGGAAGAAAGAAAGAAAGAAAAAGAAAGAGAGAGAGAAAGAGAGAGAGAGAGAGAGAGAGAGAGAGAGAGAGAGAGAAAGAATAAGACGTCTTACCTGCACGCCGACCTCTCCATCTGGACAGCCGTCCGGGAGCAGACTTGCGAAGGACGGGACGCGGACAAACGAGTCGCTCTGCCCGCCCACCGTGTAGAGCTTCTCCGACCAGTCACCCGGGTCCTCCCGCTTTATCCTCACGTGCATCTGTAAAAAAAGCGAATGGTTGTTTTAAAGGGGTCCTAAAGTCCAGAAGGGAGTACTATTTTCCGATAGATTATGCTTTAATGACTACATAACTAGCCGACGAGTTTTGCTTGTGTGACTTGTACGGCCCATGTTTGTAAAGCGATATCAATATCATTTCCCTCCGATGAGTTTAACACCTGCGCATAAAATGGATAATTTTACTGCATACTGTATACTGTAAAGTAATATGCAGTTTTCACATCCTAAAATTAATGTTGTCTGAAATTGTCTGAAAATTGCACTCCCTTCTGGACTTAAGGACCCCTCTAATATCTGTTTAGAGTTGGGACTTTACTATTTTTATATCTATATCAGAATTAGAACAGAACTTGTTCTTCGTTCTCTTGACACCTAGCTGATTACACATGAATTCTAGCATTCTCGTATTGCGACGTACATACATTGTCGCAATCCCTGCTACTAGAATTATATGAAAAATAACGTTTTTGACACAACAAATGTACAGCGACTTTCATAAGGTCTGTAACTTGCGAACGTAACAAATCATACCTTAGACATGTAAATATCCGCAGATGCATCCTCCTCGTCGAGGTCTGGCATCATATTGGTCAGATAAATGTCGTCAAGCACGTCTAGGGCTTCGAAGTTCCTTGTTGTTGCCTCCTTGTTCTAAAAGAATATACGCATATACATATTCAAGTTTATCATGGTATACTGACTGCAGTGGCATAAATTGTCCCGATTTTTTTTTATTCCAACATGTAATCACCAGACGTGGTGACGATACACTCAAGTTTTTTCAACTTATATTAATGCCGCCACCAACACAGGGGACAAATACATGAAATTGTCCCGATTGTCCTGGTGTTATTACCCACTCTCTTTTAATATGTCAAAGAGGTTGCTTCTAGTATCTAGAAATTGAGAAATTTTATATACATAGATTCAAATATTTATTAAGTACTTGACATACCGCCTCTAGCATGTTGGAGGAAGTCGCCCCACCCTCCTGTTCCGACTCGGCCTTGACTTCAGAAGCTTTGAACACATTGACTGCACCTAAAATACAAAACATGTTGTGAGTTTCAGAAACGATATCAATTGCTTTGTAGTCATTTATATAAGTGGAAAAAACATATCACTCATAATTTATAATGTAATGTACAATAACTGTATTCACAATTTTTAAGTATCTGTGTAGTCGTAACATGATTGACACAGTGTAGGTAAGTAGCTTAAGACTGGTCTTAAGTTTTGAAATTCTGTATCAACATCTTCAAAATCCTCATGTTAGTTGTCGCTAGGGTTGAATCTTTGGCATTTCAAATTAGACCGTATCTTTTCATATAGGCTTCGAGGTTACAAACCCAGGTCCAACTTCTTCCCTGCAAGAACAACCCCAATTTGGAACAAACTGTCACCAGCCACAGTAAACAGCAGCTCAGTAAATGTATTCAAGACCAAGTTGGCCATAGAGTGGAAGGACCACCCTGATAGATATGAATACGTCTTCTCCTACTGAATGCCCAAACTGTCTACACCACGAAGACGGCCTCATTACCCAGTAAGGGTACCTAATGGCCTGGATTCAGGTGAATATTCAGGTGAATATACAGAAGCAAGCAAGGCACACAGAATAATAGAAATGTATCTCAACTACATATCTGCATACCTGTGAACATCAAAGCCGCCGCCCGGTTGACCTCACCTACAGACATGCTGTTATTGACTGACATCTCTCTGGTCTTCTCAAACGCAGACTTCAGGGACGTGGAACTCAGGACCTTTTTTTAAATATATATACGTATGAGTCGGAGCTCAGCATCAAAATATACTCATAGCGAATTTCAATGTTACATAATATTTATTTCCTAACAAAACGATGGAGATAAGAAACTAAGACTTTTGCATTCTTTTTTTTTTTGTCCTAACTGAACTACGAAGTCATAAATTCTAATACTTTTGCATTACTTTTTTGTGTCCTTCTAACTGATCTATGAAGGCAAATAAAATTTAAAGCAGGGGACCAAAAACTACACCACTTACGAAACACTTACGAAAATGCAGATATCAAAACTATGTTCTGCTGTATTTCCATAGAAAGCCGCTAGAGGCGTCATTATGAATCTTGTCCTTTGCCTAGCGGGCACTTACCTACATTTTAGATATCAAGATTAATCCAAAAATCCTCGAGTTATACTTCCTATACAAACACACTGCAAACATGTCGAGGGAAATCAGTTGCTGTAACATGCGTGCACTTACTTGTGCATCCCCAGACACAGAGTCAGGAAATGCGGTGACTAGTAAGGTAGAGGTCGACAACCCTACAATACCGTCAAAGTCCTGCAGTTCAACAGTCGCCATGTTCTCAGCCACTTTGTCCGTGATCTGTAGTGAAAAGATGGCGGACTGATTTAAACTTAAGTTTTTTTTTATATTCCAACATTTCATGACTAGACATGGTGACAGCACGCTAAAGTTACATGTATATCAACTTATTTTATGCCGCCACCAATGCAGATGACAAATACAGGACAAGACAATACTAGTATGCATGATGCCTTTCCCAAGGGCACAAGATCGGTGACATGTCAGGACTCGAACCCAGGACCTCATGATTCCGAGTCGAGCACGGACAGGACAATACTACATGTAGTATGTATGATGCCTTTCCCAAGGGCACAAGATCGGTGACATGTCCGGACTCGAACCCGGGACCTCTTGATTCCAAGTCGAGCTCGCTGCCGCTACGCCACACGACCCCACAAGTTTGTAAATGTGTTTGGTCAAGCTCATGACAACAGGTGCAGGCCGGTTAGCTCAGTTGGTTAGAGCGTCGTGCTGATAACGCGAAGGTCGCGGGTTCGACCCCCGTGCTGGCCAACATTATTTTTTGACGTTATTAACTTTTTATAAAAAAACTATATGCAACAGTTATTTTTATGTTTATGTCTACCTCAGAAACACTAAAAAATATACATGTGTAAAGCAAAATTTGTAAAGCACAAAGCAAACTAAATTGATTATCTCTAACATCACTACTATAAAACGTAGTAGCCCCCTTTTAATTGATACAATCATAATTTTAAGATTTCTTTTACAAATTTTACCAAAGAGAAAGTTCAGTCATGTTCATGTAGCCTGAAAACATGTAAACTTTGCGCAACAACAGTACAAGGTGTAGCGAATGGTATCTATTGCAGCTATACATTTGTATAACAATCAAACTATAAGGCTAACCTACATTACAAAATACTATATCGTGTAGAAAGGGCATGTATCTACAGATACTTTCACGGTCGATGTTCAGGAAAACTTGCACTTCTTGTTCCGCCGCTCAGAACCCTTCAGCGTGCCACTAGGTTCTCTTCCAGTTCTCATCATTACACCGTCAACATACCTGTCTCCAAGTCATTTTACAACAACAGCTTCTTTCCCCGGACTGCAAAATTATGGAACTCTCTTCCAAACAGCTGCTTTCCGTCCGACTACAATCCACAAAGCTTCAAAACAAAGATCCACCGCCATCTCCTGACATAACTACATTATACATGTACTCACTTAAGTACCTCTAGCTCTATGCCTAGAAGTGGCCGAAAATAATTGGCCTTGCATTGAGCGACACCGTTAAAAAATGTACGAGTATTGGTGGAATTTCTAGCGTTTATCGTTTAAGCATTTTTGGGACGTACCTCGGTGATGTCTTCTCCTTTGTTGGCCAGGGCAGCAGCAACTCCAGAAGAGATGACGGAGCCACCAAACGCCTCCGCGGCAGAGCGCACCGACAGCATCTTGGAGAACGGCCCTACCGAAGGGTCGAAATACCCGCTCATGTATTCACTCACCTGGTCTTTGGTCGGGGAGGTGATCTAAAGGCGGTTGACATTAATCAAATCTTTATTTTTCAACGTTGCAGAAATGCTGCATTAATTAAATTGATTCAGGATTCTGCACACGTACTACACAAGGTACCTGTTATGTCTTGTCAAATATTTCATGTTCCAAAATTACATTAATGTACAAGTGGTGCCGAGAGGTTACGTTGCGTACTACTTGACTCGACCGTCACTTTGCCTTTGTACATTTATTTGTATTAATTGATGCTTCTCTTAAACATCGTAGGTGCATTGCAGTAAAACGCTTCTACACGTAAGAAATTTTTAAGAAAAAGCGACGACGTGCCCGTGTCTCGCTTGACGACTGCAATGGCGAGTGAAACGCATTCATTTGACTAATTCTAGTTTCACATATCCATAATTCTCCACTTACGAGAATGGGGTCCAGTAGAACAGTGGTGTTACGTCCGTCAGGGCTGGACACCATCAGTTCTAATATGATCAGGCCGGGAGGGATGTCCACCATAGGCGTGTACAGGACCTGGTTTGGGTTACAAAGTGGTGCTTTATGTGCTTTATTAAACTCCATTAGCGACACACAAGACATACAAAATCAAGTATGTAGCTAATCTTCCTGGAGTTAAAATACAATAATACAAATACACCACATCAAAATTACAACATTATCTACATACAACATTAGACTTAACATTTAAAAGTATCATCACATGTGCCTATCATCATGTGCCTATGTACGCATGTGCTCTAACAACTCCTTCCTAAACCTACTCTTAGTTGCTGCTTGTACCTAAGGTAAGGAGGAACTAAAGAAATAATTTGGCGAGAAATATTTATTAATTACCGGTCTTACCGTTTTAGGTTCTTCCGTGCATACTAGTACTACTAAGAACTACTGATGAGCAGATTTTAAAATTAATCCAGGACAAAGCACAGTGTAGGTGCGTAGAAGATACGAATCAGAACAGGAATGCTTTGATTGCTGCGATGGAGGATAGGAAGAAACCAAGAAGTTCTGAGTTACATTGAGGATTGAACAAGGTCGACGGAGAGAATTAAGAAGAAAAACTGACACAAATTGTTCATATCTTTCAATCAGCTGTGATGAAAGGAAGAAGCTATGAAAGAGTGAAAGAGGGGGAAGGGTAGAAAAGGTCAAGATATGATATGAAAGTACCTATCATAAGACAAAATAGATAAAGGATATGATAGACTCACCCAGCCAGAAAAGATGTCCAGAATGATCTGCACGACCGTAGCCGGCCCGCTCCCTGGAAACTTCACTGTTGCCAACTCCACACCGTCTGGTATGAACTCGTACCGGATCTCTGCTCTCAGTGGGCCAAGGACGTCATAGAAATCTGTAAAGTATAAAGTAACAATGCAACCTAGTGGGCATGTGGGCATAGATGTGGGTCAGAGACATGCCTGTGGACATTCCATTCCTGTGGACAAAATGCCTGTATACTGTAGCATTAGGCTCCTCCCTGAGACGTCGCCAAAAAATTACAGTGTGGAGAGTATGACACTAGTACATGTTTGTGCTAAATAAACATGGCAGACACGGACCTTCGCAGACGATACAGAACTTGTCCACCAGAGATGCACCCTCGGGAGGGAGGACAGTGCACACATCAGGCGGGATGTCGGTAGAGTTCCCCTGCAGCAGTCTCACCGGAAGGGGGTTCGGCAGCACCTGGAATCGGTACTCCGCATGCCGCGGATATCCTGCGTACAGGTAGTTGCTGAGTCTTATTGTGTAGTTTCCGGGGACCTGAAAGGTAAACAAGACTGACAATGAAAACATACATTGCCATGGCGACGGTGGTTGCTGTTAGGGTTATTGTTTGCATGACACTGCCACGATTTCATGATTTTGAGGAAGTCTAGGTACCCTCCCCTCCCCTGAGTGTATAGTGAACAAGCCCCGGGGTGACAGAAAGTAGGGCACCTGGAAGCAGACAGATTTTCTCAAGGGTTTCAAGGAATATGGGCATGTCAACAAACAGAGCTGGGAGACATTCCTTTGGACATTCCATGCCTGTGACAAAATTCCTGTACGGTTCCTAGAATTCTTGCAAATTGCACACAATACTGTACCATTAGGCTCCTCCCTGAGTCGTCGCCAAAAAACGAAGGGGGCGGTTAGGTCACTACCCACATCTAGTCCACATTTCAAACCATATCGTTTTAATGAACTTCACAACCATAAAACCCCAAACAATAGATTTTCTACGTAATTACAAAAATAAATACACTCTTTTGTTGAGTTCAATTGGTGGTGTAAAGAAAGCACTTATCTGATCATTTGTTGTTATATTACTTTTGCTTGAAAATTACTGATAACTTGTTGATTTTATTGCTTGATGTACTTTTTTTGGTTTGTCGGTCTTTCGATCTGTCTGTTGGTTGCTTGCTTTGTCTCTGCCCCTCCCTCTCTCTCTCTCTCTCTCTCTGTGTGTGTGCGTGTGTATGTCTCTCTCTCTCTCTCTGTGTATGTGCGTGTGTACCTGGATGGTGTTCAGCACCAAGGACAGGCCTTAAGGACAGTGTGTCTCCCTCACTTGTGCTGTCTCCTGTTGGCAAGGAAAAGGACCGAAATACAGGGACAAGGCCATTTATCTATCTTCACCATCAAAGTACTTACTGTAAACACGTTGGGCTTAACATTAATGGAGAAGAAACTGATGTATGTAATGTTGTTGGTCCAGTCAATGCCGGGAAAGTCTGGCGGGGCTTCCTCTAGAGTCCAGATGTTGTTGCCATTATATGTTTGCGTCAGGCGAAGTCTCTGGTAAACGACGAAGTCGACAGGGTTGCAGTTTTCCAAGCATCTGTTAGAAAAAAGTACATTATTATAAGTATGTTCACACTACAGTGTGGTAGCACGCCGGCAGAACGTACTGCGCCTGCGCAGAACCCTGTATTTTCACGGTTTTCGATGGATTTTTGGTCAACGTTGCATTAGAATTTTGCCTGTTGCAAAGGATATCTTTTCCGACATAACGTTTGGAAACTACAGACGAGATGTTTTCCTTATATGCGCTAGTACAACCTTATATGAGACGTTTTGCCGAAGTGCTATGTACAATACATTACGGGTTTCGCGCAGGTGCAGTACGTTCTGCCGACGTGCTCAGTGTGGTAATCCTTATAACTGTTTATTGCAAATTCATGCAAATTCATTGCAGGAACAGAAGAAACATTATAGCTGACGTACATTTGATAAAAAAATGAAATAAAAATACAAATAAAAATGAGAACAAAATCCTTTCTGTAGATTTTGACCCTTCCATTTCAAAAACAGATTTCGAAAATATAATGCTTATATTGAACAGAGTTTTTTCTTTCTTTTTACTCATCGGTCACCATGTAAGAAGACGTGAAGACTAGGAATTGTGACCTCAGCATTACGAGTTTCATGTATGGAATTCCCCTCTCCTTAATAAGTCAAGAACATACTGTCATGAAAGTTCATCTGTGTTGGTAGTTACATGTTTAAAGTTAAAACTTTTGGTCCAACACAAAAAATTTTCTCACCTAGAGCTTTCGACCAGTCACTCTGGTCTTCCTCAGTAGACTGACCCAGTGAAGCTTGTCACGTGGCTTCTTTGAAGTGTGACGTCAACACTGGGTCAAAGGTTTTAACTTTAAACAAGTCAAGAACATCATTTAAAGGTGATACGTACGTTAACGTGAAGTGAGCAATGCCAGATGCCATGGTGTAGATGTTCATGTAAGTGTGGGCAGGTGGTCGTCCCTCGGTTGTGATAACCACACTGATTCTGATCATACAACCAGCCTGGCGACCCCCTCCAACATGCAGTCTTCCTTTGTCTGGAGTCGAGTCTGACAGCAGGTTGCCAAGAAGGGCCTCGCAAGCCGACAATCCACCGGAAACAACTATTAAAGGATTGATTTGTTTGTTTGTTTGTTTATTTGCACATATATACAACAAAATACACACTTCGCTCAGGTGAAAATGAGTACTGTCCTGTCATGTACTTGTCTCCTGTGTTGGTGGCGGCATTAATATAAGTTGAAAAAACTTGAGTGTGCCGTCACTACGTCTGGTGATTACATGTTGGAATAAATATATATATATATATATATATATATGTATACAACAAAACACATAAACAAATAATTAAAAAAATCGAAAAATATGTCGGGAGCGGCCTGAAACCTTAGTAGTTTTTCGCGGGCCTTCCCCAAACGAATTGTAAATATCATATGACTTTGTATATTATCATATTATTGGTGTGAGTGGTTCAAACCTTACAGTCCGGTCTTGCGCAGCTTGTACATGTACCTATAGCTACATGTACACAACTGGTGTGTCACGCCTAAAGGCGGTTTACCGGTTATGCGAAACAAACAATCTGTATCGGTATAGCCGGTATAACCGCCCTTCGGCGTAACACACCAGCTTCGCAGGCACGCGGCGCGGCGGCAAACAAACCATACCGGGTGGGTCGGGGTAATCCACAGCCTCACAGCTCCAGTTGTAGTGGAACTCATCGCTGGGCACCAGTTCGTCAGGGTCGTAAGAGTCGTCAGCGTTGATGTTGAACTCTCCACCGTGTATGGACCGGGCGGCGTAGCCGGGAGTTATCATCACGGCAAGCGGCAGGGGAACAACCTCCAGCCACGTCTGCGCCACGCCGGTACTGACGTGGCCTAACTCGGTCACGTTCATGGTCACTGTGATCTGAAATAACAGTGACGTAAATTAGTTACCACCTGGCCCTCTCCTGGCCACAGTTAAGAAGAAGAAGTTACAGTGGTTCGGACATGTGTCTACGGCCAAAGGCACACTCTCACACACAGTTCTCCAGGGTAAGGTGGAGGGCGCACGGCCGCAGGGACGTCCCCGTCGGTCATGGATTACAGACTTAAAAGAGTGGACCGGTTTAACAGCCAACCAGATGGTCAGACTGGCGGAAGACCACAGGAAGTGGAAGATCTTGGCCAAACATCATGCTGCCCCGACGGCTGACTAAGCTATGGGAGAGAGTGAGTGAGTTGTAATGTACGACATCATCATCACATCGCTGGTACAGACATGGCCTAGCTCGGTCACATTCATGTTCACTGTGATCTATGATAACAATGAAATAAATTTGATGTCGTTAGTTACCACTAGTTGTAATACGTTGATGAAGGTTAGACATCCATGAAAACAATACTTATAGAAAGTTCAAGCTTGATTATGGAGATAAATTCCGGACGTTTTGAGTGACATTCACTACTCTTCCTCTGAACTGAACTAACAGAACTTGTCAACACAATATATGACCAACAGGAAAAAGCATATAAGTCTTTGTCATATTCAACCGGTTTTTCCTGATGCACATATATTGTGTTGAATAGTTTTGATAGTTCAGTAACGCTGAAGAAAAGAACTGGAAACGTCCATGGTAATTGTTGCAAAAAGCCTGTTTATGTCATGATATAGTCTTGTACGTAGGTCAATTCTTTTGTACCTTTGTGTCTATCTGTTTACTCATGGACCTTACGAAAGTCGCTGTACTTTTGTTGTGTTAATAAAGTTCTCTCTCTATGATATATAAACCTCCGCACCTGCACCATGAATAAACCGAGCGGCATGGTCTTCCAGGGTAGCACGAGCTTCAGCTTGTCGGGAAACACGTCGTCCCTCTGGGGGAAGTAGTCGTGGTACGCCTCGGTCGGGTAGGTCAGTCTCGTCTCGTTGCCTCGTATTGTCCACATTACCGACACCTACATACACAAATACTAGTACGTTAAAAAACACAAACACCAATGTCATACAACCAACAACCAAGACTTTTACGGGTGCAATGGCAAGTGTGAAAGGTACTGAGCCACTGCAGTACCTTTCACACTTGCCATTACATGCCCGTAGGCAGGGGGTGGTTCGGAAGAACCCGCCCCCCACAAGGCTCAAAGGTCCACTTTTTGATCCACTTTTTATGTAAAGGTCCACTTTTTGGTCCACTTTTTATGTAAAGGTCCAAGATTTTTCTTGAAAAGATGGACTGGAATCATAGAAAAACTGCTCCCTTTGTCATTGAACAAAAATTAATCTCTGATTTTTTCTTTGAAATCCTCTCAAAAACGCACGAAATGCCATTTTAGAAGGTTCATTTTTCAAAATTTTACGGGGGAGCATGCCCCCGGATCCCCCTAGGAACCTCGCGCCTACGGCGCTCGAGGTCCCCTCAAGCAGTGGGAAGAACCCCCCCCCCCATTCAAAATTCTGGCTACGGGCATGCATTGCACCCGTAAAAGTCTTGGTTGTTGGTTGGTTGGGGGAAGGTTCTGAATGTGTGATAGGGGCTTTAGCCTGTAGATATCAGATAAAATGAGCAGACTCACGTTGTAGCCGATGTCACATTCGTAGGACACCAAAGGGTTAATGGTGACGTTCCCGCTTCGGTGTACTTGGAGAGGGTTGTCCGGACTGAAAAAAAAATCAGCATAAGAACCTTTCTTTCGTGAAGTCACTTGTGAAGTAAATCATCACTACGTATTAAACAGTGCAGGAAAATATGCTGCAATACTGTAGCATTGCTCGTGTGTATACTGACGCTCAAGGAGTGAATGAATGAATAGGTGGATGGATGGATGGATGGATGAATGAATGAATGAATGAATGGATGAATGGATGAATGTCATGATTGAATGAATGGATGACTGTCATGAGTGGGTGAGTGAGTGAATGAATAAATGGAAAAATGAGTGACTGAATGAATGAATGATTGATTGAATGAATGCATGAATGAACGAACGAACGAATGGATGGACGAATGAATGAATGAACAAATGGACTGAATAAATGATTGAACGAACGAATGGACGAATGAATGCATGAATGCATGCATGCATGGATGAACGAATGAATCAATCCATGGATAAATTGATGGATGGATGAATGAATGAACGAATGAAAGGGAACATGAGTATTTCAGCATGGTCACTATGACCGTACCTGCGGACCCCCTCGTGAATGTCTACCGTGACGTAGCACGGCTGGTCCCCGGGCGGCTCGTGCCCCGGGGCGATGGTACCGCCCGCCGCAGGGGTGGGCAGGATGCAGGCGGAGTGTAAGGTCTCGCACGGTGCGATCTTCTTCTTGATCTCTGGCTCTGAGTTGGTAGCATTTTGCATAACATGTTTATCAATCTTTATGCTTTGAACACACACACACATCACGATAATAGCATCCAAGTAAGCAAGCATATCTGTCCTTGGTGCTGAACACCATCCACACACACACACACAAACACACACACACACACACACACACACACACACGAACAGACACACACTGTGACACACACTCACGTGCACAAAAAATAGACACACCAAAGCATGATATTCACTACAGCAACGAAGAAAAAGATAAAACTAACCCGTGTGTCCAAAGAAGCAGAAGTCCCTTATCTTCACAGGCCATCCAACGACAGATCTCATTGTGATCCTCCAATACTGAGACGTAAGGTTGAAGTCGCCGAAGTACTGGGGTCTGCTGGTGCCGGTCACGATGGTATCCGAACTCTCCACGACTTCCCACACGTACGGATCCACCTGCGACATCTCTAAGACAAAGTCCTTGATGTCGTGTTGGCCGTTTCCATTTTGTACTACCCTGACCTGGTACACCCTGTGGGGTGCCTGCATGTCCAGGATTATCCAGTGAGGTCTGTTGGGAACAGGAGCGTTTAAGGCTGGAGGTTCCCAAATCGTGTCTGCTGAGCAGTCCAGGAGGTACCAGGGCGGGTAGGCGTAGGAACTGGGGTAGAAGTCCACCACCCAGCTTTCCCCTCCCTGCAGCCAGCCCAGGTCAACTGGAACGAGAAAAATAATTCAGTTTTTTATCTGTATCAATTTCTGTACTTCTCAATGTTTTTTGTATCTGTATAGTTACAATTTGTTTTAAAGTGCAAATAAACTGAAACTGAATGTATTTTCTGCATATATTTCTAGTAATGGATCTGCCACTGTATTTTTCTGCTGCAAATGTATTGAACAAATTTCTACAGAGACAAGGAGACACAGATATATGTCACACACACACACACACACACACACACACACACACACACACACACAAGCACACACACACACACACACACACAAGGACACAAGTTTACACGCACAAGGACACAAACACACACAAGGACACAAACACACACATGGACACAGATAAACACAGACGTACAATATGTAGAGAAACGCACATGGATTTTTATGCATTTTATGCATTGCTGCTCGGTTGTGCATTACAAGGTTTACCAATCATAGAGAGTGGACCATAAAACTACACTAGCGACCTCACTATGAGGATGAAGTGGAGCGAAGAATCAGTATTATTCACACAATGGTAGCCTCTCCATATACCAATACATAAAATTATGATCAACAGGTACTCAATTCTTCCGCTTACTAGAGCTATAGGCTATAGGTAGTGAATGGGGCTGTGGTTACTGAATATTGGTATTGGATATGGCAACTGGTACTGGACAGGGCTATGGGTATTGGATATGGCAAAGGGTACTGGGCAGGGCTATGGGTATTGGGTATGGCAAATGGTACTGGATAGGGCTATGGGTATTGGATATGGCAAATGGTACTGGATAGGGCTATGGGTATTGGGTATGGCAATGGGTACTGGACAAGGCTAGTGGTACAAGATAGGGCTACTGGTACTGGATAGGGCTATGGGTATTGGATATGGCAAATGGTACTGGACAGGGCTATGGCATACATGTAGTATCAGGGTACTGGAAAAGGCTACATAGTTACTGGATAAGACAATAGGTACTGAATAGGGCAACGGCTATTGGATAGGGCAGCGAGTACTGCGTCTACTACGGAGAGGAAATAAACATTTAAGGATTAATATCAAATCACTCTTTAAAACACTTTCTATCGTCAATGTACGAGTTAACATAGGAAGATTACAGGTAGAAAGAGTAGTACTCACCATAGCAGTCGGATGGCCCGTCCGCTGTACACCAGCAAAGGCTGCACGTCTGGTTATCCGCGGTTTGCCCGTCCCGACATGTGCACAGGTCCGGAGGGGTTGTGATGTTGCGGCACAGAGACGCTTCGACAGGCGGTACACACACTGCCGCTACCGACAGGATGGCTGCCGGGTCGACAAAATGAGTGTCAAGACAGATACATGTATAACAGTTACAGTGTGTTTGTGTGTATTTGTGTGTGTTTGTTTGTTTGTGTGGTGTGTGTGTGTGTGTGTGTGTGTGTGTGTGCCTGCGTGGCCGTGGATGGATGGTGTTCAGCACCAAGGACAAGCCTGTGTGTATGTTTGTGTGTGTGTGTGTGTGTGTGTGTGTGCGTTTGTGTGTGTGTGTGTTTGTGTGGATGGTGTTCAGCACCAAGGACAGGCCTTTTTGCTTGCTTGTGTGCTATCATCGTAACGTAACTACTTTCCTTAGTTTGTGTCTTTTGGTACATGTTCCTAGGACGTCGGATTGTCATGGTCAACACGAGAACAAATCATTCGACCTACTTACACACGGCCAAGTAACATGTAGAATGTGTGTTCCTCCTAGTCCCTAAAACGAGATCAACATCGTACAGGATATCAATAAAGATATGTATATATCGAATTTTTTCTGGTTGACAGAAAAATCCTTACCTGCTAGCAGTAGAAGCTTGTGCATATTCGCCTTTCTCTGTGTTCTTCTCAGCGTTGAATGGCGGAGGAAGTGCACACTACCGTCAATGTGGGCATGCTCACTGTCATTTCAGGCGTAAACAATACTCTATCAGCGTCAGAGTACTCTCAATATGTATCAATTATCTCATATATGGTAAACAAGGCCATCTGTGACCTAAAACCAACTCAATTCATAGATCAATGGCCTTGTGCTTTGTATCGCTGCCACCAGAAGTGATTGTTTTTTAATCACTTGTATTGATAGAAATATGTACAAGAGAGTGCTGTGAATTTCTACCAATATATACAGAAATAAAATGCATATACTAAGTAGTCAGTGCGTTGGGCGTTCAACTTGCAAAAACTACATGACTGGATGGGACTGGATTGCTTAATGGGATAGCATAATGGGATGATGCTTTATTGAAACTTTTATTGCATGTTCATTCCCCGGGGGGATAAATGCACAGATGTACAGAGTACAATGTACTAGAGAGTACTACAACAATAGTGATATAGAAAGGCTAACATCGGGTCTAAGGTATACAATGCTAAAAAAGAAATATACATATATAAAGTGATACAGATCTAAGGTCTAATGGCTTCTTCTCTCTTTTTGAAACATTTTGAAATATACTTACATACTTCATTGATGACGTCTATATTCGTACATGATATGATATATTTAAAAGTGTCTTCCTTTGATAATGTTTTACATTTTTTGTCGAACTTAATTGAACTGAACAGTGATTTACGTTCGTTATCATATAATATACAGTCAAGCATAAAATGCGATTCATCTTCAATACAAGAATTATTACAGAATTTACATAGAATTTATTATGAAAGTATGTCTTATCTTTTGATCTCCTACTCCTCAGCTCTGTGAGGTCTTCGAACTCCTCAAGGATGCAACAGTTCGTACCGCCCAACTACGTCACACCTAACGTCAGCCCTAGCAACCAATGAACGTCATCGAAACCAACATACGTCAGCCCTAGCAACCAATGAACGTCATCGAAACCAACATACGTCAGCCCTACTAGTCAACGTACGTCAGCCCTTAGCAACCATGGCAACGTACGTCACGGTAACCAAGGACATTGCCGTTCTGGTTATCTAACCTATAGCCTAAGTCTACATTTGGAGCAACATTTGACTGTTGCGTGATTTTATGGAAATGAACTCAATAGCATGTTTCTGTTTTTCATGATTCATCGTGTAGTGGAATTTACAGCAATAGCGCGATTTCGTTTTGCTGCTAAACAACAATGACACCCTGTCAACCTGCCATCCTGGTACACATTAATAATTAATGAGTGTTTTTATTGTGATGTTTTAATTACAGTGTTTTCATGGCCGTCTCTTCATATGGTCAATCTTATTATATTTCCAGGGTCGTTCTTTGGATATTACAAAAGACAGAGATGCAATCTGGCAGCAAAAAAGCTTCGTTGACGATCTGCCTGCTTTCCATTGTTCTATGATCTATTTTGTCCTGAAATGCCAAGTGGTAAAAGAGCTCGCTGTTGCGGGTTACTCATGCAAGGAAGGACAAATGAATGAAATATTAATAAGCAAAGACACCATGTTGATATGAGCGTCACATATTGAGTTTGACATGGCTCCACCCATGTCAGAAGGTCAGCTATTCTGTCACCACTGTCAGTGAAACCATATATCAAACGTGTGTACATATAAACAACACAATAACAAAACATCATAAAACATCTTTGTCATTTTTCCACGTTAGACAATCATGTAAACTCCCGACACAAAACGAATGAACCATATATACACATTGGGTTACTATTGTAATATACATTATTATCATTGTTCGTATTGTTATTATCATCATTATTATTATTATAAATAACTAGCTGTGACTGAAACTGGGGTAGGTGTGAACAAGCCTCGTGGCTTCATTTCCACCCTCGGCACGTTTTGATTTGTACTTGCTACCTAAGCTATGTTTTTAACATGCGAATAAATAGATAAACTAAAAATCCATAGTAATGATAACATAGTTCAACTCAGTCTAAAGTCTGTTCGTATCGCCAAGTTCCTCAAGGATTACTGCAAACTTGTTAAGGTTTTTAGGATCAGGTGATTCTCTGTGGACAGTTTTCTCCGGTTTTCGCATTTTCACTGCTGAAAGATTGTGCTTTGCTTTGTCCACTGTCTCAGAGGTTGTATCCTTCAGAAATGCGACCATCTGTAAATCATCTGTGTTCGGGTCCTGACTTTCCTCTGCGTACACATCCATGATGATAGTCATGAACATACTCAGTAATACAAACTGCATCATGCACTGGTACGAGAAGAACATCAGAGGGCCGAGAATATAGTGGCCATCAACGAGAGCGTGGAAATCAAAAGCACCCAACATCATGGTACACAGGCTGGTCAGACTGGTCAGCATGTTCTTGTAGTCCTGGAGTTTGGTGCCGAACAGGAGATTCCCCATCTGAGTAAAGGCCATAAGGATGATACCAGCTACAAAGAAGAACTGCAGAACCGGCTTGAAGGACTTTTTGATCGTCATGCTCAGTGCAAAAACGTGCGAGTTGAACCGCAAGAGCCGAATGAGCTTCAGGGTAGCACAACAGATGAGAAACGCTAGCAGGTACGTGTAAACCTGAAACCAGTTCACGGCGCTTTTGTAGATGTCAAACACCGTGTTGCCGGCTCGGCGTTGTTCGGCGGCCTCGTCAATGATGCCCTGTGCGTTGAAGTAGACTCCGAGGCTGCCGAAGCCGATGAGAATGACCGAGAGTTCCACCCAGCTCCAGAACTCACTCAGGTATTCAAGTGGTCGACCGAATAAGCTTTTGGCTGAAATAGCACAACATTCACAAATCAACTTATCTATGCTTATGGCGAAGTGCATTTTATGGAAATCTTTTTACCTTTGCCAAGAATTGAAGGCCAAGCTTTTGGTAGCATCTTTGGCTTCATGGTGTTGTGGCTGAACAACATACTAACTCAAGAAGCTATGGATGGATTGTTATGATGTTTGAATGTTTGGTTCATCTACCAAAGAAAATTATTATATTTCGGGCCCCTAATGGCTTTCCTGGGTACTGCAGTTCTTTTGCATCTTGTTTAGCTATATATCTTAACCTTCATAATGAAAGCAAATCAGGGTTCACCATATGTTCTATCTTCATCTACCAAAGAAATTTTTAGATTTGGGGCCCCCTGGTGGCTTTCCCTAGTACTGCAGTGTTTGTAATCTTGTTATATCTTTCCCCAATCAAAGTCAAGGGAGGGTTCTGTATATTCCGTCTCACCTTCTTTAATGGTGAAGAAAAGCAGGAATGCCGCCAGCACGCCGCGAAGCGCCAGTAGCAGGAGGGCGTCCTGTTGGATCAGTCTGAGTGTCGCAACCTCCCCACTGGTGAAGGCAGGCCCAAGATGTGTGAACTCCACCACTACCGACACCACGGAGAACAGGTTGGCGTGCGGGTTGTACAGAATCAGCTCCACGAAAACGGCTCGGGTTCGCTCGTCTAGCCAGTTGTACTGATCTAGGTACGCTGACAATGTTGCGCTTGATGTTATTGTCGTTCCCAGTGCCGTTGTGTAACCGCCCCCGAAGTATGTGCCGTGTTTTCCGAAGAACGGGAAGCCTGGTAAAGCAACCGCAAAGTCAGGCCGTGTTTGTGTATGTGTCAAGTGCATATTTACTGTTAAGTTATGTTTATTGCAAAAACTACCCTAAGTCTATATCAAAATTTTGCACTAAATACATATATGTAATTAATAAATTATGCATTATGCGTTGATGAAATGTTTATTTTCAGCTCATAAATATTTTTAATTCTGCTTGCCAAAAAGCCAAAACGGAATAGAAAAAAACCTAAACATTACATAGAAATATCACCTTACCAACGCTCTATAAAGTAAACCTCCATTTATAGTCAGTGTCACTTATCATTACGTACAATTCACAATAGGATAAAAAGACCGAATAAGACTTAACTCACTGTCACTCAGCGAGACAAATGTGAAATTCCATGGCGTATCTTGACTGGTGACAGGAGGTGGTGTGGGGACCGTGTCAGTAGAGTTGGCTGTGAGATTATATGGAATCCACCCCTGTATTTAGAATACATCAATTGCTTCAGTGATATTTTAATTTTGACTGGTAAAAAAAACAAAAAAAGCTATTGTCTACAACCGAAGTAGGAACACAACTAGTGGGAAACACATGAGCTGACGCCTTCCTCTCTGTAGATAATGTAGACGTACCTGGATATAGTCTTCTGTGTCTGCCTTTAGGTTGGAAAAAGCCACGGTACAACGTGGCGCAAAGTTCTGCATCCGTTCGGGTATCTCACAGAGTTGACCTGAAAGTGTAAAGTGATACAAAATCCATAAGTTGTATGGTAAAAATTGGTCTCTGTCTATACCATGGATAACGTCCTCTTACCCAGTATCTGACATATATTTGCCGGTTAACTTTCTAGTCTGTACAGAGAAAACACTAATCTTGTTTATTGTTTTTACGGTGGATGTGATTACAACTTTATAACTGTTTCCTTACCTGGTATCAGCCGGACTTGTCTGAGCTGTGTGGTGCCGAGTTGGTGGGTTAACATGTCGGGAAGTACCATACGGTCGGGTCTGGCCTGTCCGTTGTACCATTCTCCTGAGTGTGTGGCTGGGATCAGACTCTCCGTTACCCATTCCCAGAAGGAAGGGATGCCTTTGATCTGGATGGAGAAAGCAAACACTGGTATTTAAGTACGCTTAAACTTAGTAAGAAGGTGGCATTCACCCGCCTTTCTACAACTTTACGATCACTATAGGTTAATGTAAAGATTGCCTTTTTCGTACGTCCGGATAGGCATGTTTTTCCACCTTCAAGGAAGGGAGATAGAGATTGCTTTAAGCTGTCACGTTTTCTTTATTACGTCTTTATTATGTCTTTAAGATCAACACAAGAATGACTTGTCCCTGGTGGTGCTGGGTGCGCTACATTCCCATGTAGCGCACCCAGCCTTCACTTGTCAACGAACATAAGATTTTACGTCGGTGAAGTTTAGACATCCAGGTAATAAGATACGTCAAAAGAACAGTTACTAAAGCAACTCCAAAATCATATCCAGTTGCTTGAGTAACTGTTTTTGGCGTAACATAACACTTTAAATATCTAAATGAAGGTTCTTAATGGTGAACATACATCTGGGAGCTCGTCCGCGCTTCCAAAGACGTTTTCCTTGACGCCCTGCGTCATGTAGAAGGCCAGCGGGCTCCGTTCTTGGTACGCCGTGAGCATGATGGCCGTCACGAACAGCCCGAACACGACCACCTCCAGCACAGCCGACCGACGTTTGCGTTTCTCTGCGCTCTTCGCTCTCGCTTCGGCCAGGACAGACTCGTCTGGTGGCAGCGTGGACCGCTCTTCGTCTGAGGACTGATAGATGAAATGGTAAGCATATTGCGTGTGAACAAGACAAGACAAAATCTGTATAAGAAGCTAAGAAACATACAGCCAGCAGTAACGTACATTACGCCTCAATAAATCTGTTTAATAATTAGTTTTAGAACTCTTGTTTTAGATTAGTCTTAGAAGTCATCAATGTATCTATCTGCTATCTATCTATCTATCTGTCTGTCTGTCTGTCTATCTATCTATCTGTCTGTCTGTCTGTCTATCTATCTATCTATCTATCTATCTGTCTGTCTGTCTATCTATCTATCTGTCTGTCTGTCTGTCTGTCTATCTATCTATCTATCTATCTATCTATCTATCTACTGGAAAGTGTGTGTGTGTGTGTGTGTGTGTGTGTGTGTGTGTGTGTGTG